GCAGTGGTTTAAAAAAAAACAAAGCTATTAAGACTAATTCTACTGAGTCATGTCATACTACTTTACTATTAGCTACAAAGAAACTACCATCCCAGAATTTGGATGTCTTAAGAATTACGAGTAACTATATTATAAGCCCAAAGCAATGAAAGTGTGTCCACAAATAATTATGCTATAATGTATTCACATTCCAAAGAATCGAATAGAGAAGCAACGCTTCCTGCACTCAAAGTATTGACACCTCCGGTCTAAACTATCATTATTTATATATTAGAGAAAATGCTATCGAGAAATTGGTCGTTTTTTTTTTTTACAACAATATTTGTTTTCTTTTTTTGGACATTTTTACTTCCTAACGGCCACTAAGCTAGTTAGTTGGTTGGTTGGATTCAGTTATTATGCGTACTATATACCTATAAACGGCGGAATTCTCGAAAACAATTAAAAATTTAACTCGCCGTTAAATGTTGTTGCTACTGTTACTTTAACATGTTTTATAAGAACGTCTTTAACTGTCGTTTGAGAATTTGGGTTTATTTTATTTTTACTACTTACGTACTAGTGAATGACAAAGCATGATAAATAATACGCAAACACAGGAACCCGTAAAATTCTGTGTAAAAAAGTAACTAGTCACCTAGTTAAGCTTTCTGTGAACGTATGGATGTAAGTTACAAAGTTAATATATTCTACGCCGCTATTTTTTGAGAGGGTATATAAACACGCTATTAACAAAAGCCTTTTCTCGTCCAAATTGGGTAGTTACCTAGGTGAAAAATAAAATATTTCGATGTTTCAATATAATAAAATATTGAAAAATAACTATACTTTTATTCATCGATCGATCGATACACTAATTTTTAGATTTTTTTAGCTAATTATTAAGAAATAAGTAAGCTATTTGACGCAAAAAAGTTATGACGTCATAGCTCAGTTTTTCATACAAATTTCATAGAAAAGTATCGTTTTTGACGTTTGGATAAAAGTATTGAATTTGACTAGTTGGAAACTACCGTATTGGAGAGAGAAGGAGTGCCACACTCTTTCCGACTTCAACCACCCCGTTCTTTCTCCTGTTTTATGCCGAGGTCGTAGTACATTACTGCGCTTATCCCGCATTCCTGGCCGAACATCAGCCCTGTTGGGCCCTACTTATGGATATTTTACATCGTCTACAAGTTGAATACCATATAATATCTCTTAGTCTAATCTAAAATCTGTAAATGTGACATTATGAAACAATTCTTACACATCATGATAATGAAATAGTTTACTTATATTGCTTCATTTTACTTCCATATCTATGATACGATTAAACATAGTTACGATATCTATTATGAAAGATTAAGTTATTAATATTTTTTCTACCTATATTTTTATTTTAGGCTTATTTTTTAATGACGTCTGGTTGAAAATGATATCCTTCTTAGGGCAACATTCTCGGACATCATAGCAGTTACAATTGATGATATCAGCTCCACCCATCCCCGTCACCCTAGTACCACAGCACCATACCACATCACTGGCACACCAACACAATTTACTTGCCACACAATACCACCATGGCACAGATTCAATGAGAGCAACATCGCATTGTGACAGATCGTATCTCATCCGGTTAATTTAGCATATAAATGAGAACTTATTCAATATAACACATACATAAGTACATATAACGGGGATCTAATTGTGTAGTTTAATTAAATATTTTTACGGTTACTGTAAAATGACGATTGTGGCTCTTTATCGAATGATAGGTAAGTCTATTCCTATTTTTAAATTATTCCTGTATTTTTTAAATATAGTTTAGTTGGATTTTGTTGGCAAATAAACTAAGTATCTCTCTTTTTCAGCTTTATCAAAATCCTAGAAAAGTCATTGCTGGGTTCTTCAGGAAAATTTTGGGCTGGTCCCAAAAAAAAAAAAATTTTTTATAGTAAGTAGTAAGTCCGTTGATTCTGCAATCTTGTGATTTATAAAGATTGAGGGATCTTCGCACGCTTAGCACTATTTAAGAGTCTATATCCGATACTTAAAACATCAAATCAAACTCAAGAACAAGTTTTAAGTTCTTGAAAATTGCTACAAAAAATGAGGTGAGCGTAAAAGTAGTAGGTGAGTCATTGGTGACGCGGCGCTCATTCATAAGGTGGTCGGGAATGTCAGATTCGTTCTTAGAAGAGACGGAACTTAAGTTCACCAGGTACATCCTGAGTCATTCGGTATGTCAGATAGCTATTGTTATGGTGATTAATGCAATTTGCAGAGGAGTGCGGAATGGTAGAATCGGTAAGGTAAGAATTTGATCTTCATTGAATGGTATTGATGTATTTTAAAAATCTATTTATTGTTGCCAAGTTTATTACCTATTGTTTAAAATGTAAATGAAATCTTAACTGTTGGTTTAGTCAATATTGGTTTTATATAAATTTCTATATCTTTGGTTTTGTAATCAAGGTCAAGTGGATTTAGATCGTAGACATAAAATATTACAGACGTTTTATGGACACTTAGTTGCAGACGATTTTAACAAAAATCTGACAATGACTGAAAAAGTAATTAACCTCTATCGAGGAAAAATTGAATTCAGCTTGGCAATAGGTAAGTAATTAAGTACCTAATAATCTTCTATATATATAAAAGAAAGTCGTGTTAGTTACACCACTTATAACTCAAGAACGGCTGAACCGATTTAGCTGAAAATTGACACGGAGGTAGTTTAGAGCCAGGAGAAGGACATAGGATAGAGTAGGTTAGGTAGAGTAGGGTAGGTAGAGTAGGGTAGGTAGAGTAGGGTAGGAAGAGTAGGGTAGGAAGAGTAGGGTAGGTAGAGTAGGGTAGGTAGAGTAGGGTAGGTAGAGTAGGGTAGGTAGAGTAGGGTAGGAATAGTAGGGTAGGAATAGTAGGGTAGGTAGGTAGGTAGTAATATTATGGATGTTTTATGGACACTTAGTTGCAGACGATTTTAACAAAAATCTGACAATACGCTCGCTCAGTTAAGCATTGAGGTATGTACTAACTTAATAGATAATATACATATATTATGGCTCTTTGAAAATTTTATTACATAACTTATTAAGTAGAGGCACAGTGATAATCTTCAAAACCAGTAATAATATGTTTTATCAACATTTTTTCTTCCATAACCTTGTACTCAACTCAATGTCGAACTAAAATTAAGTAAACCTGTTTGGAACTCCCATATTTTGTTACCAGAGAATATAATTGTAGGTACTTAGGTAAGAATGAATTGAAATAAAAATTATATTCATCTTAACAAAGTATAGTTTAAATTGAAATAAAAACAAAATAATTTTGCGAACGCAGATTATTTATATTTGAACGCAGATTATGTTTAAAAAACAAAAGAAAACTATGACACTATTCCTGGCTGATAATGTTACGAATTTAGAAAACATTCAAATCTAATCTTTAAAAAAATGATGTCTCTGCATACTTATGTGATAGGAAAATATGTAAATTACATGCAAATAATCTTTGATAATCCTTCATTAAGAATTTATACGTCAAATACGTCCGGCTGAGTATTCAGGATTAAATTAGGATTGACGATAAAACTGATTGCTAAAATACCTAGAAAAAATGGCGCCTTTAAAATATATTGGCGCCATTTTTGTTTAGAGAATAGACGTCAGACTTTCTTTAATTGATTTAAATCGTCCAACACGTATTTACTGTTTTATTTTTTCGAAAAACAGATGAACATAATGTTACTGCTATAATTTTCTTCAATAAATTTATGGAAATTGGGTATGGCATAACTAAGAATTAGAAAATGGCAGAATATAGTAATTTATAAACAAGGTGCACCGTCGTCATATGTAAATGCAACGAAGCACTGGCTAATGCCCTATGCAAATCAATAACCAAGAAAATCACTTTCCTACCACTAACGCGAAGAAAGCACCATATTAGAAATCTCATAAACAAATGCATTACATAACATTCCACTTGCAGTACTTAAAATATATTTTATCACTTTCTAATGACTCAGTGGCTAAAGATTCCCACGTCCAAAACGCGAAAAAAGCACACTACTGTTTTAATAAACGTAATGACTAAGTCAAGAATGAATGAGACGTTCCCAAACGCCTTGGTGCTAAAATAAAAAGTACCTATATTAGTATCATAGAGATTGTTTATCCAGGCCATAAACTCCAAAAAAAAAAAAAAAAATAGAGATTGTTTACGAAATGATTTGGCGGGTAAATTATAATTTTTAGGTTAGGTTGGAAATACATTGATATAAATAATTTTACCAATATTATTATAAATATCAATACCTAAATATTAAGAACTGCGTTAATAATGATAGGGACAGACAACAAAACAAAATATCATGGAAAAAGTGGTTAACCTCTATCGGGGAAAAATTGAATTCAGCTTGGCAATAGGTAAGTAAGTACCTAATAATAGTTCAATATTTGTCACATTTATGACGAATGAAGATATATTAACAGAAAAGTAGGTACGTAAATATGTCCAAACTTAGTGGAGGTAGTAGCTTTGTACCTAAATAATAAACATAAAATTGGTGAAAGCGTCATAATCAATTAGTTACTTGTATATTATTTTTTCACGAGTGCTTCTACTGCCGTGGCTAATTAGGAACAATAAATTTTATTTTATTTTATTATGTGGCTTCTTTAGTTTCGAGACTTTTCGATCTTAAATCGATTCATCACACTTCATAACGATTATGTAAAGCGTGTAAGCTTATTTTGTTTTTCGATTGCAAGTTCTATATAATTAACCTACTTTTTATTTATTTATGAAGTTATTTTAGTGAATGTTTTTAAATAGTTAAATCAGAATATTTTTTTAACAACGTTGTAGTTGTGAAAATTTAAAATAAAAAAGGAACATCTAGTTCATTTAAAAAAAGAACGAGTTTTCGTTGATACTCATCATCGGAAATTCTTGATGAGTTTCTTAGCTCAATAAATTAAATATTGCCATAGTAAAAATATATTTCTTACCTGTCTCGAAGGCCTGTATCCCCGCTCGTAGTATCTGTAAGGAAATGAAAGGGATAAGAAGTTGAATCACCAAGAATTCACCATATTAGATATCGTTCCGGTGATATCATTTAGCTTTACACTGAGTCTACCTGGTAAACTGAGATTGTCCATGTAATTGAGGACGAGCCTAATAAAATTAGAAACTTGAAGCTAGGTGATAAGCTACTGAGAATATTTTTATTGATACTGTTATGATATATGTTTTTCATTGATGATTATTCACAATAACTACCTAATTTAAGTTATTAATGAAGTAAATCTAGTGCAAAAAGTACAAGCACAAAAGAATACTCTAGCATCCATACAAATATTTCATGGTGTAAAGTTAATAAACATTATTATTATTTTTTATAAGACCGCGACAAATAAGTCATGACAAATGGGACGTCTGTATTGCATGGGAGCTGACAACTATCTGATAGATGTCATAAAACAAATCAAAGATGGCGTATCTAAGGAATACCAACGCCCTCTATGATTTGTGTTATGAGAACTGATATTTCTTTTGCGGTTAACTGTTGCATTCCATGTATGGTAAGAATCAAGTAGAGCACATAGAAGTGAAGTACGAAGATTGTAGTAATTAATATAATTATTTTAGTTAGTGTTTTAATTTGTAGTATTACTGTACTTTATTACAACGTTTTATAAGCTTTGTTTGATTTGCACATCATAAATTATTTTCGATTCCAGAATCGGTTAAATATTTTTTTGGTTTCATAGTTGTAAAAGTGTCAAGTGTGTTGTCTATGACTGATAAAAAAATCAGACCATTTTTTACTCAGATAGTAGAACTACCTACCACGCAATTTCACCCACGGTTCTTTTTGATTGGAGCGTAATGTCTTATAGCCTGTGATTTTCTTCGATAAATAGACTTTCAATGAATACGAAAATAATTGTTCAACTCGAAACAAAAGTTCGGAGGTTAGCGCGTTGAAGCAACAAACAAACAATATTTTAAATAAAGAAGCTGTTTAATCTGGCGAAGATTATAGACTGTATAGATAATGGATGATAGGAATGGAATGATCAATTCATATCAATTTATATCGATACAGATGAAGTGAACAGTTAGCCGTCTCGCGGGCTATTAGCTCGACGGTAATGGGCGCATGGTCGGTATTAGGAATGCTCAGCATATTTCACGATGATTTAGCACAAAATATGTGGAGAGGACTGCACTCAAATTATTTGCACGGCGTATTGACCTGGTTCGTGTAATCGTTGTAATTATTCGTATTGCAGCTCCATTGATTTTCTGTTCTTGGAAATTGATGATGGTTGCGTTTTTTATAATGTTCTTTCTTTTCTCTTTGTTTTAAAGGCTATGTATTAATGTTAGAGTTGACTTCTTGATCTTGTATTAAAATCCTAGTAAGTTTAGGGACAATATTAATATTTTGATAGGTAAGTAGGTAGTCAAAAAACCATAGGTCCCTAACTGGCGTGAAAAAATGATGTAATAAATATCAATGTTGTTAATTGATTCAAAATAAGACGAATTGGCAAAAAAATCGGCACTTGCCGCTTACTTATGTAACAATTTGCGAATATGTAGGTACATACACTTACGTAATACATAATCTTCAAATCGGGTACATAGAATTTCATAATTTTTTTGCCTATTTTTAAACAATACTTTCTATTTGATAGGTATTTTAAATTGGTTATTATTTTGTAGTCTTATGTTTAAGAAGGTGACGGCATATCAAGATGACTATTTTTACGGATTACCTGAGGGTAAGCAATCAGCGCCGCCATTTTTAGGGATTAGGGATTTGGAGATTTTGGGATTGGGGAAGGATTGGGCTTCCGGGAAACTCACTCACACGGCGAAACACAACGCTGTGGTTGTTTCACACCGGTTTTTGTGAGATCGAGATATCACTCAGACCTAAGTTATCGATTTTTAGACTTCATGACAGAAGAATAAAGTTTAAAATAGACTGAAAGAGTTAAACATTTTGGTATAGGTTGACATGCATTTAGTCATGGAGTCATAATGATTATTATAATGCAGTGATTGTATGTAAAGTTGGTTTGGGTGCGTTCAGTTATTTCGTTACATTGTGACTCAGTGACAAGTTGGTGACAATACCGTACGTATTATAAATTCATATTTTAATAGTATTTACTTGTTACGCCGCGTAGATTGAGGCCATTGTGCCTGAACTGGTATTTTAAGTAAGGGTGTAGTCTAGGCTCTGAGAATGTTGGATAATTAGATTTGTGATCCTTTAACGAAAGTAACAGCTTCATCATTATCATCATTAGTATGATTCTGTCCACAGCTGGACATAGGCCGAGAGAGAGCCAATTGTGCTCGATGTTCAGCTCTTCTCATCCATCCACTGCCAGCCACCTTGCGGATATCGTCAGGCAACCTAGCGTTTTTTTTTGCGAAGGGAAAATCACAAAATGACTTCTCCAGCCTAGGGTGGGGCGCAAGGGAGTGTGAGACTCTTATTGACTAAAGACGCCCATTCCTTCTCCTGCTCTGGGCCAAGGTCACGGTGCCTTATTGCGCTTGCCCCGCCACCTATGCTGAACATTAGCTCTATAGAATAAAAATACGACAAAAAATAATTAAACTATTCTATAAATGAATTAAGTACCTTATCTTGGTCCTCACTATTTTAATAGGTGTATTAAAAATATTATTACACTGTAAATAAAAACAAGTGAATTCAGATAACCTTTTGGATAAATACATATAGAAGCGCGCAGTGACGTGCAGACTGCAGCTGTGAATTTCATGAATATTATAGAAAATGCACCTGCAATTCTCGATTCGACTGTTTATGGAAACTCTATATAATACATATATCTCTATACAATACATAATTTGAAGCCGTTATAGTTTCTATATATTTTCAATAAATAGTTTTTTTTTTATGAAAAATGTGACAAACGGACAGATGGCTGATGTATATATGAATTGTATGTTTGTTAACGCACCTACGACGAAGAAAACCATCCCAGTTATAGGAAAAGATTTTTATAGGTAAGCATAAAAAATAGAATATTTTTCTATATGATCCATCCATTGTCTAGTTCATTAAATAAGAAAATACGAGAAATCTACTAGAACTTATTGTGTTTTCAAAGTTTGTTTTAAATACACACCTAATATGCGATATCATAGAAAGTACAATCAACAAAACACCATCGTATCCTGCTTACAAAGTGCACTGTTGACAGTGATTTCTATATCATTAGCGAGGCAGTCGCTATCTCCACCGGATGGGCATCGGATATGTGCCACAGCAGCACTAGATGGCCACACACAGCTTGCTTAGTTGATACTTGTAACGTAAGCTTTGAGACTGCGAAATATAATACCATTTTGTTATTATTAACTACGGGAATAAGCCATGATGGGTTATGTACAGAAGTTGCACCTTGTACATTTATTAAAAAAACTAGCTTTTGCCCGCGACTTTGTTCGCGTGGTGTAGTGACTTCCTGCAGATTTCTTGACTAACCTATATCTTTTCTCGAGTTCCAAACTACATACATATGTCTGTACCAAATTTCACACAAATAGGTTTAGTAGTTTACGCGTGAAGAAAAGACAGAGAGACAGAGTTACTTTCGCATTTGTAATATTATTAGTTTGGATAACGGCGTACTCTCGTGAATGAACTGAGAAAAACTCTACTAATTACAATTCACAACGGGACTATAATTCAATATCAGTGTGCGTTTCGCGACGGGTTTTAGTTAACTCACGCGAGTAAATTGTTATTTTTTGTAAAATAAAAATGAAAAAAAATAAGTGCAACCATTATTTTATAAGTTAGTGATAGCCCTCAAATTTGCAACGCCTGATAAAGGCCGTTAAAATGCGGCTGTTATTTTCATTTAAGATCCTTGTTATATTATACCTATATCATATTAACATTAAAATTATGAATTTGAGTTTGAGTTTAAGTGCACTAGAAGTTATGTGGGATATTTTGTGTGTGTTGGTTGAAAAACTTGAACATAAGGGTAATCAGAATTCGTAACTCATTTAAGAACGCACTCTCTACGTTTTTCTGCCATTTTTTTAAACACAAAACAATAAATTCCTATCTGATCCCATTATGACAAACAACTAACTCAAAGATCACAGATATAGCTCAAAAGAAAAAAAAATGCGAAGCCGAATAAGTGTACACAATGAAATTCTTAACATTGGACTTCTGCAGCATAGCACAATGGCGATCAGCGATAAAATATCTTCGTTCATCATACATTGCTCGCTCGCTCACTTATCAGATTTAATTTATAGTGTGTAGTCAGCAAAACATTGCGTTTAATAAGTCATGATCACAAATATGGCGCGAAACGGGGACTCTTCGACAACTATTGTTTATGTATCGAAATAAGAGATCGTTGCTTGGACACTGAACCAGAGACTTTTATGGAAGGCTGTAGAATAAAGTGATAAAATGTTATTAGGTATTACAGAGCGATGTAGTTTGGTTTTTGTGGTTTGAGCTGGTATGGTGAAAGCTATGTAATGGAGAAGTGCAAGGAACCTGTTTTTAAAATGGCTACTATAGACGAGTTTAATTAAGTCACTTAGAGCTGATATTTCGATGGTTAGATAAAAGTTACCTGGGGAATAATTATGATGCTGTCGCGTCAGAATGTTTGTATAAGACAGTGATAGCAATAATTTTATTCATCAGATAACATTTATCTGACTATTGAAAAATCAGCCCTTAGACTAGTATATCTCGTTACTACATATTTATCAAAGATCCAACCTTTTTCGAACAATTGTTCACTTAAATATCTATCAGACTCAGCCGGGGCTTTAGGTCAAGCGAATTAGGTACGACTCCAGCCTGGAGCAGGAATAGGAACGGGGAGGTTTTTAGTCAGTGAGAGTCATCACACAAACAAGAGATGACACTCCCTCTCGCTTCACACTGGGCAAGAGACGTTATTTAATGACTTTCCCATCACAAAAGAAATGTGTCAGGCAGAAGGAAAATTTGTAATCAAATTCAGCATCTGCACTTATCCTAAACAGAAGAGTGTTTGCTGAAATCTCACCGAGTATCAAGCGGTTGGAGATCTCAGTTCGAAAAGCTCAGCGAGAGAAACAAACAAGTTCTAATAATCTTTACAATATCGTAAGAAAGGGGAAAGGCGTATAAAAAAAAACATCTTAATTAAAAGATGTGAAGATTA